AGTCTCAATTATCAAACGGAATAAGTTTACATTAAATTTAACTTAGTTTGAAAAAAGAATAAGAATAATTGATGAGTTTAATTATAAGAAAAAAAAAATCAGTTGAAATAAAATATATTCTATTGAATAATTGTTTTATTTAGACAATAAAAGTTGAAATGGAAATAATTGATTTATATTCAATTGTTAATTCTGGTTTATATTTATTTGTTAAAAATCTTAAAAATGGTAAATATTTAAATAATATTATAAATAAAAGAATTTTGTTTTTTTTTTTCTTAAATAATAGTATATTCACTTTGTCGAATTGAATCAATTCGTCATAAATCTTCACCTGTTGTTTTATTTGATAAACTTCCATGTTTACCAAAATCTATTTCATTTGATAAAAAAGTATTTTTTATTTAATTTAAAACTAAAATAAAAAATGATTTATTTAAGGGTGAATTATGTGTTTTTGTAAATGTTGATGGAACAATAATATACATTTTAAATATAATTAATAATCAAATTAAAAATATGTTAATAACAAAACAAAATTTATCATATCATGATAAAATAACATGTGCACAAATTCATCCAAATGAAGAAACAGTTGCATTAGGAACACAATCTGGTCGAATTGCTCTTTGGTTAGAATTTATATAATTATTATTTATTTAAAGAATTTTTTTTTTCTCTTAATTTAAGGTATAATTTTATAAATTCAACAAATAAAGAACCAACAGTATCATATTTACATTGGCATTCATTACCTGTTATTTGTTTAGCATTTTCATTTGATGGTTTGTTATTTTTAATATTTATTTATATAAATATTAAATTGATATATTAAAGGTTCATATTTATTATCTGGTGGTCATGAATGTGTACTTGTTAAATGGCTTTATAGAAAAAGTGAGCCAACATTTCGACCACGACTTGGTGCACCTATTATTCATGTTACTTCGTCAAATGATCAAACATTTTATGTATCAACTCATTCAGATAATTGTATATTTTTATTTTTATTCTTATAATTTAAATAAATCTTATTTATTTTTATTTTTAGCTCTTCATTTAATTGGAAGTAATTTATCAATTCAACAAACCATCGGTGGAATTAATCATATGTTTATTCCTCAACAGGCTTCATTACCTGCTGGTAAAAAAAACACAAAATTTTCATTGTATTTTATTTTTATTATTATAAAAGACTTGTATAAGTCTATTATTGACTGAGATAAGAATATAATTAAAGAAGTTCTTAGGAAGTCATTGATTGTTTTTTATAAATTCAATTGATTGTTTCTCCTTGCACACAAGAATAAGCTGCTTTATCGAGTATGATTAATAATAGAAATCTTTCATGAAAATATTCTATTATTTTCATAATTTTTTCAGACTTTTTAACTGTTAAACATCTACCAATAATGTTTATTTCATTTGTTTCTTTTTTGAAATTTTTCATGTGAAAAACGTTAAAAT